CTTGTGTGAAGATAAATGTGCCAGTAATGCTTGTGGTGACTGGAAACTATTGTGTCAGTAATAATGATCATGAGTGCAGCTTCTAGTGACGGTGTGGAAATACATGTGTGTCCATAATGATAGCCATGACTTCAGCTGTAGGTTATAATTTAGGGAGACAAGATTGTCAGTATTGCTGATGACGACTGCAGTTCAAGCTACTGGTACAGTGATACATATGTGTCAGTATTTGTAGTGATGTACTGTGTTCTAGACTCTGACAGTAATGTTAATGACGAGTAACGCTGTGGGTACTTTTGAGGGGACACATGTATCAATAAAACTGGTTATAATAAAGTTGGTAGAATTACGGACAATATGTAAAGTAAAAGGACACAAGTGCAACTAATGTGACATTTCATTGTGGCAACGTTTCGCTCTCCAGGAGCTTTGTTAAGCAGTTGCAAACAGTACATGGACACAGAGGGTATATATACAAGCTCAGAGTGAGATGCAATACTAGTGGTAGTAGTAGTAGTATTACAATATGTTAGAACTCATCTGCAAGTTAATTGTTCTAACATATTGTAATACTACTACTACTACTACTACTATTGCACAACACTCTGAGCCTATATATACCCTCTGTGTCCATGTACTGTTTGTAACAGCTTGACAAAGCTCCTGGAGAGCGAAACGTTGCCACAGTAAAATGTCAGGTTAGTTGCACTTGTGTCCTTTTACTTCACAATAAAACTGGTGATGACTGGTGCCTTGGGAACTGCTCTGAGGGATACATATGTGTCAGTAATATCGATGATTGGTGCTCTGGGCACACAATAGGCACCAGTTGCATGAAGCACAAGTAGTGTAAACATAACCACTTGTAGTGAGAATCACCAACAGTGTGAAACTTGAAAGAATACGCATCAGAAACGTGAACCAGAATTACCAGATGTGTGAACTATAAGTAGCAGTAGTGTAGATCACAAGAGTTACCAGACTTGTGAACCATAAGTAGCAGTAGTGTAGATCACAAGAGTTACCAGACTTGTGAACCATAAGTAGCAGTAGTGTGGATCACAAGAGTTACCAGACTTGTGAAGGATAAGTAGCAGTAGTGTGGATCACAAGAGTTACCAGACTTGTGAACCATAAGTAGCAGTAGTGTGGATCACAAGAGTTACCAGACTTGTGAACCATAAGTAGCAGTAGTGTAGATCACAAGAGTTACCAGACTTGTGAACCATAAGAAGCAGTAGTGTGGATCACAAGAGTTACCAGACTTGTGAACCATAAGTAGCAGTAGTGTGGATCACAAGAGTTACCAGACTTGTGAACCATAAGTAGCAGTAGTGTGGATCACAAGAGTTACCAGACTTGTGAACCTTAAGTAGCAGTAGTGTGGATCACAAGAGTTACCAGACTTGTGAACCGTAGGTAGCAGTAGTGTAGATCACAAGAGTTACCAGACTTGTGAACCATAAGTAGCAGTAGTGTGGATCACAAGAGTTACCAGACTTGTGAACCATAAGTAGCAGTAGTGTGGATCACAAGAGTTACCAGACTTGTGAACCATAAGTAGCTGTAGTGTGGATCACAAGTGTTACCAGGACTTGTGAACATAAGTAGCAGTAGTGTGGATCACAAGTGTTACCAGACTTGTGAACCATAAGTAGCTGTAGTGTGGATCACAAGAGTTACCAGACTTGTGAACCATAAGAAGCTGAAGTGTGGATCACAAGAGTTACCAGACTTGTGAACGATAAGTAGCAGTAGTGTGGATCACAAGAGTTACCAGACTTGTGAACCATAAGTAGCTGAAGTGTGGATCACAAGAGTTACCAGACTTGTGAACCATAAGAAGCTGAAGTGTGGATCACAAGAGTTACAAGACTTGTGAACCATAAGTAGCAGTAGTGTGGATCACAAGAGTTACCAGACTTGTGAACCATAAGTAGCTGTAGTGTGGATCACAAGAGTTACCAGACTTGTGAACCATAAGAAGCTGAAGTGTGGATCACAAGAGTTACCAGACTTGTGAACCATAAGAAGCTGAAGTGTGGATCACAAGAGTTTCCAGACTTGTGAACCATAAGTAGCAGTAGTGTGGATCACAAGAGTTACCAGATTTGTGAACCATAAGTAGCTGTAGTGTGGATCACAAGAGTTACCAGTCTTGTGAACCATAAGAAGCTGAAGTGTGGATCACAAGAGTTACCAGACTTGTGAACCAAAAGAAGCTGAAGTGTGGATCACAAGAGTTACCAGACTTGTGAACCATAAGTAGCAGTAGTGTGGATCACAAGAGTTACCAGACTTGTGAACCATAAGTAGCAGTAGTGTGGATCACAAGAGTTACCAGACTTGTGAACCATAAGAAGCTGAAGTGTGGATCACAAGAGTTACCAGACTTGTGAACCATAAGTAGCAGTATTGTGGATCACAAGAGTTACCAGACTTGTGAACCATAAGTAGCACTAGTGTGGATCACAAGAGTTACCAGATTTATGAACCATAAGAAGCTGAAGTGTGGATCACAAAAGTTACCAGACTTGTGAACCATAAGTAGCAGAAGTGTGGATCACAAGAGTTACCTAGACTTTGTGAACCATAAGTAGCAGTAGTGTGGATCACAAGAGTTACCAGACTTGTGAACCATAAGTAGCAGTAGTGTGGATCACAAGAGTTACCAGACTTGTGAACCATAAGTAGCTGTAGTGTGGATCACAAGAGTTACCAGACTTGTGAACCATAAGTAGCTGTAGTGTGGATCACAAGAGTTACCAGACTTGTGAACCATAAGTAGCAGTAGTGTGGATCACAAGAGTTACCAGACTTGTGAACCATAAGTAGCAGTAGTGTGGATCCAAGAGGTTACCAGACTTGTGAACCATAAGTAGCAGTAGTGTGGATCACAAGAGTTACCAGACTTGTGAACCATAAGTAGCAGTAGTGTGGATCACAAGAGTTACCAGACTTGTGAAACATAAGTAGCAGTAGTGTGGATCACAAGAGTTACCAGACTTGTGAACCATAAGTAGCTGTAGTGTCGATCACAAGAGTTACCAGACTTGTGAACCATAAGAAGCTGAAGTGTGGATCACAAGAGTTACCAGACTTGTGAACCATAAGAAGCTGAAGTGTGGATCACAAGAGTTACCAGACTTGTGAACCATAACTAGCAGTAGTGTGGATCACAAGAGTTACCAGACTTGTGAACCATAAGTACCAGTAGTGTGGATCACAAGAGTTACCAGACTTGTGAACCATAAGTAGCAGTAGTAGTGTGGATCACAAGAGTTACCAGACTTGTGAACCATAAGTAGCAGAAGTGTGGATCACAAGAGTTACCAGACTTGTGAACCATAAGTAGCAGTAGTGTGGATCACAAGAGTTACCAGACTTGTGAACCATAAGTAGCAGTAGTGTGGATCACAAGAGTTACCAGATTTATGAACCATAAGAAGCTGAAGTGTGGATCACAAAAGTTACCAGACTTGTGAACCATAAGTAGCAGTAGTGTGGATCACAAGAGTTACCAGACTTGTGAACCATAAGTAGCAGTAGTGTGGATCACAAGAGTTACCAGACTTGTGAACCATAAGTAGCAGTAGTGTGGATCAAAAGAGTTACCAGACTTGTGAACCATAAGTAGCAGTAGTGTGGATCACAAGAGTTACCAGACTTGTGAACCATAAGTAGCAGTAGTGTGGGATCACAAGAGTTACCAGACTTGTGAACCATAAGTAGCAGTAGTGTGGATCACAAGAGTTACCAGACTTGTGAACCATAAGTAGCTGTAGTGTGGATCACAAGAGTTACCAGACTTGTGAACCATAAGTAGCAGTAGTGTGGATCACAAGAGTTACCAGACTTGTGAACCACAAGTAGCAGTAGTGTGGAAAGCAAGAGTTACCAGACTTGTGAACCATAAGTAGCAGTAGTGTGGATCACAAGAGTTACCAGACTTGTGAACCATAAGTAGCAGTAGTGTGGATCAAAGAGTTACCAGACTTGTGAACCATAAGTAGCAGTAGTGTGGATCACAAGAGTTACCAGACTTGTGAACCATAAGTAGCAGTAGTGTGGATCACAAGAGTTACCAGAATTGTGAACCATAAGTAGCTGTAGTGTGGATCACAAGAGTTACCAGACTTGTGAACCATAAGTAGCAGTAGTGTGGATCACAAGAGTTACCAGACTTGTGAACCATAAGTAGCAGTAGTGTGGATCACAAGAGTTACCAGATTTATGAACCATAAGAAGCTGAAGTGTAGATCACTAGCACTAAAAGTGTGAGGAACCAGATGCATCAGTAGTGAGAACCTCTATCACTTGTACGAACCATAAATACTAGTAGAGGAAGCCACTAACGATAGTAGTTCAATAATTAACACAAATGTGAAACATAAACACCTAAATTGTAAAACTAAAGCACTAATAATGTCAACAAGGCATCAGTTATGAAACACAAGTACAACTAGTATGAAACACAGCACCAGAAGTGTGAAACACAGCACAATAGTTTGAAATACAGCAACAGTACTGTGAAAGACAGGCACCAGTAGTGTGAAACACAGCATCAGTAGTGTGAAACACAGCACCAGTAGTGTGAAACACAGCACCAGTAGTGTGAAACAAAGCACCAGTAGTATGAAACACAGCACCAGTAGTGTGAAACACAGCACCAGTAGTGTGAAACACAGCAACAGTAGTGTGAAACACAGCACCAGTTGTGTGAAACACAGCACCAGTAGTATGAAACACAGCACCAGTAGTATGAAACACAGCACCAGTAATGTGAAACACAGCAACAGTAGTGTGAAACACAACACCAGTAGTGTGAAACACTGCACCAGTAGTGTGAAACACAGCACCAGTAGTGTGAAACACAGCACCAGTAGTGTGAAACACAGCACCAGTAGTGTGAAACACAGCACCAGTAGTGTGAAACACACCACCGGTAGTGTGAAACAAAGCGCAAGTAGTATGAAACACAGCACCAGTAGTGTGAAACA